AGATTGCTACATCATTGGAAAAGCAACATTACTGCACGATTCCTCCAACAGATTCGAAAAGTAATAGATACTTATTGACCTCGAGCATGCTCCATAGCTTACGGCATATTGCATACTCATCAGGACCAACTATGCGAATCAAAGTGAATATGTAATAACCATAAGTACGATTTAATTTACACTTTTTTACCATATATAGTTGAATAGTCTATTACATCCAAATTTCGCGGTTATTTGATAAATTTTACCTTCCACCAATCGGTAGCGGGCAAAGCGCGTAATTAAGCCTTGCGCTTGCGCCTTCTGCATTCGTTACATGTGCTTGGCATGTGTTGTTCAGAGCATTCTTTGTATCATGTGTTCAAAGTGTTCTGTGAGGTGTTGTTACAGTATAACAGTTATACGCGTGTGTTTTTGTACAAATTTAGATATTTGATAATAGGTTTAAAAGGCGTGCAACAGGTAGGGGAGCGCCGGGAGGGTTTGGACACTGGGAGGCATTGGACACATTCATAATTACCGCCTAATTAAAGAAAGGGTGAAAACAGAAACGTAACTAAAAGCGCATTTGAACGTCCCTGATATATGTCTAGAAAATGTTTTTCATAATATATTTGCTTAATTATTGTTTGTCCAAACCCTCCCCATCGTTGGGGAGGGTTTGGACATAATACATTAAAAAAAATATAAGTATTTATTTCATGCCTATGTCATGTTTTTTCAAAAAACAAAAGAAAACTGTATGTAAGAGACATGTATCAACCAGTCTGACTACAAAATTTTAGTTATTTTTTATACATGTCCACGCCATAATTATTTATTTAAATATTGTTGCTCCCCTAAGTTTTTTTATATCATGGCTATATGATGGTTAGTTGGTTAAACCATCTAACCATCATTATAAGCCATGATGGTTGTACAATGGTTATCACCATTGTTTTTAGGTATTGCATTTGCCACTTAATTATATCCTAATAATTATTGAGATGTAAGTAATATCAAAACATGTGCTTTATCATTAAACTAATAATTAATTGTGATATTTTATTTTTTTTGGTATGTTTTTATTTTGTTTTAATTTTGGTTTTAATTTTGGTTTTAATAAAGAAAATGTAAATTTCAGATTTGTTTAAATATCGCTCCTTAACCTCCCTTTAATATTTTGAGGTAATATTACAACATGCTTTAAATGGTAATATTGCTACATGGATTTAAAAGCTATATTGATACAATATTGCAATTTAATCGTTCAGGTACTTTTCGACGTTAATATTGAGGCAACATTGCATCAACAACATTTATGCATCCTTCGTACCTTGCATTGCAATGTTGCTGCAAGGAAGAATTAGGGTTGCTACAACATTGCAGCAATATTGCATTACGGTTTGATGCAACATTACAGATTACAAACCAATATTGCGTCAACATTGCAGCAATGTTGGTTTGCTCAGTGGGGTACAACCTTTGGAATTTTTAGTAAAGATGCATCATAACCGTTTTAGATGTAAATCACACATTTAAAAACGGTTAACAATTGTTATGGAAACCAAACAAAAAATGCATTAACATGGTTGACAGATGTATTTTCTGACAGTTTGATGTTGAGAAATTTTATATTATTATTTTTAAGAAGTCTTTCTAAACTGGTATAAACTATATAAATAAAATGCCTTAAAACAATAAAATAGCAAAATAAAATTCAATTTTTAAACTCGATCTTATTGCATATATATAGATGCGAATTGCGAATATTCGCAAATATTATGGTGTAAACGCATTCAATGTACCTCCACTTTTTAAAACACAGATTTTAACCTTCTTTTCTTAAGATTTTCACTAAAGAAATCTCTAGATAGGTAAAGTCACGTGCATTGGATCAGTGTCACTGTTAGGTTTATATTCGCTTGCAGCCGTTGCGTGGTGTACCACCGTTTAACATTGTTTAAGATCCTAGAGTAGGCGGAGCTATGACTCCGATCGCAAGCGATTTTTGAATGCCGTTGCTACTGAGGTATTGCTCCCGACTGTAGCTACCTATACAGGGTGTCCGGAAATAATAAATAAATTTAAATAATGTCAATATATTTTAGGGTGTGATTTTAAACATAAAAATAAAAGATAAAGTTGCTATAAACAGAAAATGCCTCATAGGGCCGATAGGCATTTGAAACTGTTTCGCAAAATCAGTTTTTTATTAAAATATTAGTTCTGGTGTATTATTTTGGCTAAGATATCGTCTGGGGGTGTCAAATCGGATAAATAATGACCATCGGCGACCAGGGGCTACTCGGGAAAAAAAATCTTGATTTTTTTGTGTTTTTTTTAAATTCTCGATCCAGGAATAAAATTCCTACGTAAAAAAGTCATGGAGCGAACCGCTTTTGAGAAAAACGCTATTTAAAATGTCTTCCCTGCTGAAAATGACGGATGATTGCGGATATAAATTCTTCGTCGAAACACAATTTATAAATAAAATGCTAGTTATTAAACACAGTAAATAATTACAACAATAGCGCAATTTTTTCAAATTTTAAATTCTCTTCTGCACATCTCCTAACGCGTTTTTTCATAGATCTTCTAATGTTTTCGCAAAATCCAGGTTTATTTCTTATGGATTTACAAGCATTTACAATCTTAAAGTGTAGGGCACGTCATCAAGAATGGAAGATTCGAAAATTAAACAAAACCCCACAAAAAATTTAGGAGGTTTATCCGATTTGACACCAGATGATTTCTTGCCCAAAAATAAAGTGTCATTATTTTAACACTAACCGTTTCTGAAATAATTAATAAACACCTGATTTTGCGAAAGAGGCATTTTCGAAAATATGTTTATAGCAACTTTTTTTTTTATTATTTTTACGTGTAGCATCACCCCCCAAAATATATTAACGTTATTTTCGGACACCCTGTGTAATTATAATTAATATAAAAATATTTTTAAAATGTGATAGTGTTAATTTGTTGTTAAAAGAATAGTTTTTGTAGATAATATTTATTTTTATATATAGTTTTTAAGACCCAGCAAACAGACAAACGTCGAGTGACGTCTTTTGAACGTCGATTATTGGTCAATTACCAATAATCGCCGTTCCAAAGACGTCACTAGACGTCTGTTTGCTGGGGAGCGGGTGGTAATAATAATTATTATTAATCCAACGTTGATCAACTCGAGTTTATGGGTAAACCAATTTTAATTGTACTTTTAAAAACACCAACTGACATTGACTGTGATAATTCATAAATAATTAAATTAACAAATTCAAAAAGCCCATAAAGAATTCCTGATTGGCAATTTCTTAAAATCGCAACATTTCCCCCTCATGTTTAAAAATCGCTTAGTAAAAAACGAAATTTAAAGCGAATTTAAAACATGACAGGAGAATTTTTAATCCCTTCAAATTAAAGTTAATCTAAATTTATTCCAGTTCAATAAATAATGATTACATTTTTATTGGAAAGTTGCGTTTTAATAGTATATTCTGTAACAAGTTTGGAACAGTGCACCGCCATGGCGGCTGGTGGATTTTGGGTATACCAATATCTTAGTTATTAGACATGGGACCCATATCAAATTTATAATAAGTAGTTTATAATGACATTAAATAGACAAATTTGGAGCAAACAATTTAAATTGAAGTTTGCGAAAAAAAAGTTAGTTTTTCGTGTAGCCTAACCCGCCTCCTGGCCAGTGGCGGCTGGTGGATTTTGGGTACACCGATATCTCAATTATTAGATATGGGTAGAGATGTGACTTGAAAAAAACGGTACGTTTTTTTTTGTTATTTTTTTCAGGTTTTTTTCAAATGTTTTTTTTCATATTTTAGCAAAAGCACTTTTTAAAAAAAAAACAATAGCAAATTCTTGTAGAACATTCCGTGGACCTAAATAGAAAGCCAAAAAAATTTCGAATTTTTTTATTACGGTATTCGTTAGGATTGAGCGTTGCACGTTTTTCATCTACAAATCTCAAAACTATAAACTTCAAGCTTCAAATTGCTTTTTTTACGGCTCCAATACGACTATTTTTAACGAAGCTATCCGAATAATCGCAAAAAATTTGGAATTTTTTTTATCCTTTAATTTTTTCTCTTAGTGTAGAAGTTTTACATTTCTATTGGTTTCTTATGTGGAAACTATCAAATAATAAGAAATCAGATTTTTTAGTCTCGGTCAAAATTTTTAATAATGAAAAATGTAATATATTCTACATTTTACTTTATTATTAATATACATTTTACTCAAAATTTCATTTTGTAAAATTACTCCATTTTTTAAGATTGATGTTATTTATTGACAGAATATGCTTTATTGCAGCGGATTTGAAAAAAAAACAAAAAAAACCTTTTTTTCTAGTTTTTTTCACATATGATATGACATCTCTAGATATGGGACCCACACCACATTTATATGAGTTAATAAACAAGTTCTGCGCAAGCAGAATTTAAATTAAAGTTTGCGAAAAAAAGATAACTTTTTGCTCGGCCGTACCGGCCCCATGGCTCCCCCAATAAATATAATATAAATTTAATTGGTGCAATTTAATTTAATTAATTTAATAATTTGACTTTTGAAATGCGTACCTTAGTACGCAGTAGTAAAGCCTTTCTATATAGGCTTATGGGTGTAATAATATGAAAATTGTTATACGCTTGAAAAAAAATATATTTCAACGATTCTGTCATTTTTTAAAATGATTCGTTATAGTCTCCACCCTATCGAAAAATATTTTAACCAAAAATTCCTTGAGACATTCTAAAATGATTTTCTCATGCCAATTTTGGAATTCCCAAACTAAAAAATCAGAAAAATAGTATAAAATTGTTAGAAAAGCCTTCAGATTGAATGTTAATCAAAATTCTATGAATTAAAAGAGTAAAGCATCATTTTTACCTGTTGTTCAATACAATTAAATTAGAAATAAAACTTCATGACATTTTCACTATATTAATTCATGCAACCCTGTCTAGGAATATAGTAAGAAAATTAAAACAAAATAAATATTTTGTTTAGTATTTATTAAATAATTTAGGCAGATTTTTTCTTCTTTTTTTTACTTGGTGCCAAACCACTGCCAAACTCTGAAGTCGTTAGACATACAGAGTTAATTTTTCTTTTAAATCCTCCGGTAGGTGGCGGTCTTTTAGGCTGGTCATCGCTTAAAAAATTATTAAAAACAATTATTAAAATTATAAATTAAGTAGTCAAAGAACTATTAAGTTTTTAAACAATTACATATTTTCTCAATACATTTTTGCAAAAACATTTTAAATTGTTCTCTTATTTTTAATGTTTAATGTATAATAACTTACTCGTGTGTCGCCAATTTTCTATTGAGCCGCTGCGGTTCTTTTTTAACTACTTGTCCCCTTACAATTTTTCCAACATTCGTTGGAGTTTCTCGCAAGGCAAAACTTGTAACGTAATGACCCAGGTTTGCTTTTTTAAAATCGAAAATGGACCTCAATTTTGTTGGGTAAGTATTGTAAAATCTGGACCAAGATGAATAAGCTGCAAAAAATTTATCTACTTCATTATTATTATTAATAATAATAATAATAATAATAATGCTTTATTGAACTAAAACCAAGTTCAAAGGCTATTGACCGAAGTCCTTCAGCCGTATTATTATTATATTACTATATTTTTGTGTTTATAGTTTATAAAGATTCATTCCACGTTACTCGGGGATTTTTGTCCCGCCCGTCACAATTTAAAATTGTGAGTAAAAACTACACGTTATAAAATTTATTTAAAAATATTGATTTATTATGCTTTTAATAAGTTATAAGCACAATAAAAATAATATTATAAAATATTAATTTTATAACTTGTGGTTTTTACTCACAATTTTCAATTGTGACGGGCGGGACAAAAATTACCGAGTAACGTGAAATGCCCCATTTATAGTTTTAATCAAAAAAAATTTATTAAAACTAAAAATGCTCAATAAAATATGTTAAAAATTGCAAGCCCCACATTTTTTATCCGACCAAAAGTAAACGAGATAGAACCTTTCAGGTTTTCTTCTAGAAAGTTTGGCATTCCACCATTTAAACTGTCAGGAATACCATATTCAAAATCCAGCTATTTCAAAGTTAAAATACAGAACTGTACTATTATTTTAGGAAAATTTAAAAAAAATTGTAATATTTTTGCCCTTACTTAATTTTACCAATATTTAAAATTTCAAATTTGAAATTTTAAATTCTATATTCTATACCAAATTTGGTATATAGAATATAGAATTTAAAGTTTTAAATTAATTTTGAAATTTGCCCTTAATTTAATTGAGGTAAACGTCAAAAGATTAAGGGTAAAGCGGAATTGCAGAGCTCTGATTGGCTTACTAAAAAGTGCTATAACATTCTAAAATGCGTTAATTTGCAATGATTTAGCTTTGTCTGATATCTTTTACACATTCTACAAAAGTAATAATACTTTTTAAATTGAAAAACGATATGACGACTGACGATGAAAATGCTGTGCCGTAAAGTGACCGAAATTTTTATAAACATTTGCGCCGACATGGATTGTAGGAGGGACACCAAACAAACATTAGTTGAACAAAACAGAAAAATAATTCGGGGACATTAAAATCTCAACTTGGCCAATTGGCGGTGGCCAATTTTTGTCTCCAAAAAGTAGAAACGTCATTGTTTTGCTTGCGGTTTGCTAAGTAGCGGATATTAAAGACATTTTCTTCGTCAACATTTAAATGCTATGCTGGAACAATGTTTTAAGTGCTAGAAATGAGTTTTTTGTAGGCAATCTAGATTGTCGTGTATTGCTTTTAAATAAAAGTACTATGCTTCAAACCCAAAAGTCCCACCTAGAGACTTGAATACAAATAATGTACATAATGTTATGTTATGTCAGTTTAAGACTAATTTCGTCCTATTTTCTGAAAATAATATATAATAATACATATGTATTTTGTTTGTCAAAGGTCTTAATTTAGAACAGAAACATTCATATATTGTATTATTTTCAGAAAAAGACGACATTAGCGTTAAACTGACAGATACATAACCTCAATTATTTGTATTCTAATGTCAAGGTGAGAATTTTGGGTGTGGAGCATAATACAATAAAAGTTATATCACACAAAATCGCACATTATTTCACGAAAATACCAGTTCCAACATAGCTTTAATTTATTCATTTAAATAGGCAAATAAAAGTGTAAATTACTATTTTTAGTGTGTTTGTATTTTTTAAATAATATTTTATTAAACAACATGACTTTCCAAAAAAAGATTTATTATTGTCCAGTGATTAAAGAAGCATTTATCACACGGTCCGGAGGGTAAATGACTGTTTGCGATAAACACAAAAAGGCACTCGTGGTTGTCAACGTTGAAACGACCATTGGACGCCCATCAGTCACGGTCGGCGGACACACAACGGCCTACTATGCCTACATCATTTTGGCTTAACCTTTTTAACTTTTGTGATTTAAACTGGATTTTGTTTAGAGGTCGAAGATTTTGTATATAATTTGTTTGTAAGATGAATTTAAAAAAAATTGTATTTTCAATTTTTGCACGCAAACTATGAGAATGTTAACACATTCAGTACCTACTGTAAAAAAAGCACATAAGTATGTGAAAAAAAGTCGTGAAGGAGCCCTGTCCTTTAATACCACATCATATCAATGGCGGCCCGTGACATTTTGTTTTGGTGAGGCAAGGTTTTGTCCTTATTTAAGAGCAGCAAATTTTTTGTAAACCTAACTGCCGTCCCAGGTCGCAACCTATTCTGAACATTTTTCATACCAAGTATTAACAAAAGCACGACTTCCTTAACATTTTTTTATCATTGAAAGAAAGACAACTCAATGGAAATTTCAAAAGGAAATCCGAAAGGAGCATGTGTTCAACACGATGTTTCGCGACGCAGCTCGGAGCTATCATTAATTCTAATCCCTATGGGAAGGCACTGCCTTACCTGCATCATATTAAGATTTTATTGATTCCAGATTTTGTTCATATTTTATTAATTTTTCCAGACAAAAAGAAATAATTGTTATTAAAATATGTTATCTTTAAACAGTCTACAAATTAAACTCTAAAGGTGGATTCATGCAAGCATGTCTTAAATTAACTTAACTTAACTTTGTACCAATCTTGTACTAATCTTTATCCCATGAAAATGAACCGTTCATACATGTACTATTATCTTAAGGATTTTACATGCGCATTAAATATAAAATATAAAACAAACCCACAAAATACTAAATTTTTAAAAATGTAAATACAATGAAAGTAGCTACATTAGACTATGAAGTTGGCTACATTACCAGTACATGCGCATTTGCCTATTTTTATTAAGAACTTAGGACATAAGGATCTTAAAGATAAAAGTAAACCAACTTTTCTTAGGATAAGGATTTAAATTAAGTTAGATTAAGACGAATTTAAATGGCATGAACGGTTCCGCTCATTATTACAGTTTTATCTCTTTAAGATAAGGACAAAGACTAAGTTAGTATTAAGACATGCTTGCATGAATCCACGGTTATGTTTATTTAGGATACCAGGGGCGACTATGATGATTTTGGAATAAGCCATGATACAAGGAAACATGGTATACTTAGTTGTCGCGGCGAATGTTTCAAATTGCGTCATCAAATTCTGAACCAAGCACAGACATTATAATTATTGTTTTTTTACGTATATAATCCAAGGAACCGCTAGGTTAACCGTATATCGAGAAATCGCTTTTTGACATTCGACATTGATGACGCAATTTGAAACAACGACGACTATATGCCATTGCGCATGGTAGTGCTGTCTCTCTCGCTCCGTATGACGTCAAAGATATACACTTGTTCCAATGTAAAAGTCGTTTTTTCGCGTAAATACCATGAAATACTATGGTTATTAAACTTAACCTTGGTTAATAGTTAAGGCATTTTTGCGTTTAGAGTGCGTTCAAAAATCCTAACTATGACGTCACAAATACCAGACCATAAAACTATATCGCTGAGCTAGTTATTCAACGTGGTTAATAGTCTTTCTCTTTTTAATATATATTTTTCTCTGTTTCGATCTGTCAAAAAGTTGTTTACATTTGAAATTTAAAATATTTTAAGTACGTACAATTGCTCTTAAACCGAATTTAAACTTTGTATTAAAATGGTAATGTAAGTAAAAATAAATTATAGGGTGCTCCATATTGTGGAATCTCCACAAGTGGAGGAATTATATGCAGGTTTGTTTTATATTCTTCCTTATTTTGTATTAAACATGTAGGAGAATTGGATAACGTGTATTGAAAAAACTAGTACCTATAGAAAAAGAATATACTAGGTATAAGAAGAGGCAAAGAAATTTATTTACACCGGTAAAAGCATAGAAATAAAATATAAATAGGTAAAAACAAATTTCAAAGATTATAGGTTAAGAACAAGTAAACAAATGTCAAATGTTAGAAACCTAACCATGGTTATATGAATTAACTGTGACGTCATGACTTTTTAACCGTAGTATCACATAGTATTTACGCGAAAAAACGACTAAAGTAATGTAATTTTGGGGAGCGCGTTCGCGTTTTATTAAATTTACAATTACGACGACCGATTTATTAAAACCGATTGTGAGAGAAAATTGTTTTGAGGTAGTATTTCTATTTTGTCATTGAGCCAATGTATATAAATAAAATAATTACCTATTATTTTTTGTTATTGATATTATTTTAAAAATAATAGAAGCAAAAGTTATAAACACAGGGTGTTTTTATTTAAAATTGACAATGTAATAGAGATTGTAGAACAGCTTTTTTAAATAAATATTTTTATTTAGGCTTGTTTTCGAATTATCGAACTTCTTTTGTTTTTACATAAACCTTTTTATCTCCGTTATTTATGGCCGGATTTTAATAGAATTAAGTTTTTTGCAATTTTTAATTTAATTTCAACAATTTAAAAAATATACTATACAGGGTGTTCCAACGAAAACTTCTACCCCCCTAAACGTTTTAACGGGTGAATGTGGACAAAATTCCTTGAACACATCAATTTTTATTTCTAGGGAAACGAATTTTAATGTACGCTTCACGCCCCCACCCGCAACCCTTCGCGCTCCATCCAGCCCGCCACCAAAATCTTAAATTGGACGGGAGGTTGAGTGACATATCGTTTTAAAGGTCTTATGATTCATAATAAGATTCTGTAATTTTTTTCAAAAAATCTGTCAGTTAGTTTACGAGAAATTGCTATTTGAATATAAAAATAAAAAAATTGTAAATCAACAAAGTGATTCCCTTCAACTTCCATGCAATAGTACAGACGTTGTTCAAAATGACAACTGTCAAAATAAAAGTTCCCGAAAAAACATTGTCCGTTATTTTTTTTTTAAACCACTTTGGAAAAATTACAGAATCTTATTTATTTATTTATATTATTTTAAGAATTAAAAGACCTTTAAAAAGATATGTCTCTCAACCCCCCGTCCAATTTATGATTTTGGCGACGGGTGGGGTGGAGCGCGTAGGGGTGCGGGTGGGAGCATGAATAGTACTAAATTTGTCCACCTAGAAATAAAATTCACGTGTCCAAGAAATTTTGTCCACATTCACCTGTTAAAACGGTAGGAGTGGTACAAGTTTTATTTGGAACACCCTGTATATTTTTTTAAAATCTGGTTTTTGAAGCACATAATCTCCAAAAACTAAATTTAAAAAAAGATTTAATTTTGTATATAACCTTATAATCTTAGTTGTTAACTACATATTGCAGTCTTGAATACGAAATTCAGAATAAGTTCCAAACTAACCATTTTTCAAATTTATTGTACTTCAACGGCAAGCTATCATCCATTTTTTTGCTAAATCTTCTTTTTTTTGAAAGCTGAAGTATTTTATGTCGGTACCTTTCGTAGATTTATAATACACATAAGTGTAAGAATCTTTCAGTATGATATTTATATTTATTATTTGTATTGTGTATTTATAATTATTTATGTGTATTATTTATTATTATTTGTATAAATCTACTTATATATTTTACGGCTAATGTGCAACCTTGGATAGTTTATAAACTAGCTGGATAGTTTATAAACTAGCCAAACTGTCAGCTATTTTAATTGAAAATGTATTTTCAACTAAATTAGCGGCTAGTTTACAAAATAACCAAGGATCTTGGCTAATTTACTTGAAATTATTAGGGAAACTAAAATAGCTGGATAGTTTGTATACTATCCAATTCAATTTGGCTAATATGAAAACCAAAATTTCTAGTAACACAAAATAGCCAAGCTTTAGCTAGTTTGTAAACTAACCAACTAATTCTCTGGCTATTGCCCATTTTAGTTGGGTTTTTTGCTCAATGGGGCGGGGGGGGCCCAATGGGGCAGGGTCGGTTGGGTTGTGTTGTTGAGTTTTGGTTGGTTTGAGTTTTTTTCTCTAATTTTTGACCATTTGACCAATGGGGCGGGGGGGGCCAATGGGGCGGGGTCGGTAGGGTTAACCCTACACAATTGTGTTGTTGAGTTTTCTAACAAGGAAGCGTTAAAATTTTGCCTATGATTCATTTTAAAAACGTTAAAATGCACAAAACAAATCCGGTTAGGCCGGCAAAAAGAAAAACAATGTCGTAACCTCACTTTTTTAATAAATTAGCCAGAGAATTGGTTGGTTAGTTTACAAACTAGCTAAAGCTTGGCTATTTTGTGTTACTAGAAATTTTGGTTTTCATATTAGCCAAACTGAATTGGATAGTATACAAACTATCCAGCTATTTTAGTTTCCCTAATAATTTCAAGTAAATTAGCCAAGATCCTTGGTTATTTTGTAAACTAGCCGCTAATTTAGTTGAAAATATGTTTTCAATTAAAATAGCTGACAGTTTGGCTAGTTTATAAACTATCCAGCTAGCTTATAAACTATGCAAGTTTGCACATTAGCCATAACATATATAAATATAATGTTAATACTCTATGCTTACAAAATAATAATAACATTAAATCTAATAATAATTACTAATTAAACACAATAATGTCATTAAATAATGCATCAGCAAGTGAAATATCTAGTTTAGATTGACGAATGTGACGTACAGTTGTATTCAATAAAAAAGCGTACAAGAATGAGAGAAAACTGTCAAAATAATATTATTGCTTAAAACCGGCTTATCACTTACATAAGTCATTAAAATAATTACTATAGGTTATAAAGAGCATTGACGTCGTAGGTTAATTAAATAATATTAGAAAAATTATTAATTTTTAATATAGATTTTTTATTTCTATTATACCACGGTACGAATTGACCATTCTTCTTCGATTCTTGTTACTATTTGAGCCTGACGAGGCATTTTTATTTTCTACTGTCAGTTATAGTGACTTAAGTCAGTGGAAAGCCGGTTTTACGCAATAATGTTGACAGTTTTCTCTCATTCTAATTCTTGTACGCTTTTTTAATGAATACAACTGTACATGCGCGTAGCGGACGAAATTTGGTTTCAATAGTAGCATACCATGTTTCCTTGTATCATGGAATAAGCTAGGCTGCAACTACCAGATTGGTTCAAATTACAGTGATAATGGAATCGGCCACCACTGATGCCTAAAGCCCGTATTAAAACTTGTGCCATACGCAGTACTCTTGCATAAAGGATGCACATGGCCGTTTCAAAATATCTGTCCTGCATATTCTTTTTACCATGGATCCTACTCAATTTTGCCAGTGTCATGCAAGTTTGGGGGAAAGTTGGTATCTTTTTTAGACCACTCCACACTTTAAATTACCTAAAGACGCTGGTTTGTTTTTTGAAGTCATTGGTGTGTTGTTTCTTCGTTTTCTAAATTCTACTTCATAATATTTTAAAAAAAATTATATTTATCTTTGGTTGGTTTCATGCAAGTTGAAATTGCAATTGCAAAGTTTATTACAGCCGGCAATTCTTTCGGCAATTGCAATGAAAATTGCCATAGGCATGCGCGGTTGAGACCTTTCGACGAATCTCTTGCAATTGCCGTAAATCGGTCCGGATGGATTTTTATTGCCGTTTCACGGCAATTCTGGGGTGAAATCTGGTAACTTTTATGTTACCAACCCTATTACAAATTCCCTAGAGAGACGCTGTTTGACTTAAACAGTTTAAGGATATTTTTTTATGATTGGGATTGTGTTCAAAGTTCTAGTATCCATTTTACTCATTAATTTTTAAATATCTATACTAAATAACAAATAAACTTAGTGTTTACAAAATCGTATATTTTTCTTCGGTTGGTAGCACGGTAATAAACAGCAAGTTTTCTTGCCATTGCCGGCTGTAAAACAACATGCAAGACGGCCTTGAAAACTAGATGGCAAGAAAAATTGCTGCAAGAAGAATTGCCGGCTGTAATACGGCTTTAATTGACAGTGTGCAATAAAACTTGCTTGCAAGAAAAATTGCAGACTGTACTGCAGGCGTTAATAATGAATTCATTATTCTCGTTGTTTAGATTATTAGACACAATTTATCTACTGGATAAGAAATCGCCAATATAACCTTCCACCAATTTGGTGAAAAATAAAGTCGGACGGAGCTCGGATCGACGTCGGTCACGGGATTGGCCGAGATCGGCCTCAGACTCCAATTCGACGTCGGACCGATGCCATAATCGTAACGCTGGCCGATGTCGTTTCGACCCCGGTCACAATATGTCGAAACGAGCTCGGCAATTTTTTGTCGTTACGACCTCGACCTGCTAATGTCTAAACGAGGTCGGCCATTTTCTGTCGGAACGAGCTCGGACATTTTCTGTCGGGTCGACTTCGGCCATCTTATGTGGCAATGATCTCGGAATATGTTTATCGGAACGAAGTCGCCAATGTACTATAGCCAATAAAACAATTTAAATTTTTAATATTTTACTTAAAATTTAAATGAAAAGTCAATATTGACAATATACTTTAATACAAATCTAAAATATCCTTAAATATTAAGTTTTAAAAAGGTCAAAGTGTGACTTTAATGTGTGGAGCTTAGTATATGGTCATCGTAAGTCCAAGTAATTACCACTTACTATTTCTTCAGACTATCAAATTTCTCAGAGCCTGGTTGAACTTCTATTTTCTTAAATTTATTTCTTTTAAATTCCTAGCTCTATTTTAAAACTTAAAAACTTTGGAAAAACATTTATTTTAAACTGTTATAATTATAACCATGGTTGCATGGATGTACAGAAAAATAATATAACCTCGAGAATGCGCACATTCACATATCGGCTACCTGCACTTATTTTAATATCGGTGCGACATGCGTTGGTCGACATATCAGCGACATCGTACATTTACACATCGGTACGAGATGAGTTGGCGACACGCTAGCGACATCGGCCACTTGCGCTTGTGCGAACATACGTCCGACGTCTGCTGGCCAACATCCTATGGCCGATTCTATTCCGACGTCGGATCAATGTCGACATACGGAGGCCGACTTTATTTTTCAGTAGGGTAACCTTCATGTCACTTTTATGTACAGTGGCGGACACAGAATTTTGAAATATAATATATATATATAATCAAAAACTTATTTTACCCGTAGGTGTTAAGTAATATATAGAATATATTAAGGTAAAATGATATTAGAAGGGTCCATAATAAGAGTTGAACAAACTATTTAATAATATAACTTACCAAAACAAGCTTTTTTAAATAGTTCCTGGTCTTTATTCAATGCAGATTCGTATCTTCTTTGAACAGCAGTGGCAGCTTTTTCTTGATCCTCTTCTTCCATTAAGTCACACAAATGCTTAAGAAAATCATCAGGTTTGTGTTCAGACAGACTAAAAACAGAAATTTTCAATAAAACCACAACTTAAAAATCATACTATAACCAACGTACAATACTTTATGGTCCTGCAATCTGGTAATGTATTCTTGCTCTTCGTGCGTCAAAAATATTATCGAAGATCCCGATTTTCCAGCTCTACCTGTTCTTCCCACCCTGTGTAAATAGTCTTCGTCGCTTGATGGTCCCGTGTATTGGACAATGCAATCAGCCGCAGGAACGTCCAATCCTCTTGCTGCTACATCCTAACAAGGAAATGATTAAACAAACCCATAAAATAAGACAAATTAAACTTGGCAATACAGCTTTTACTAAAGCGTTTAGTTTACACGAGTTTGAAAAATGCGTGTAACATTTTTTGTTTATTATAATTTTAATCATGAAGATCTTTGGATTCAATCTAAAAACTCTATGATTTAATGAAACGTCATACACGTCATAATTATAACTGAAATCGCAATTATATCTGTAACTATTATATTTATGCGGATAATTAAAAAGGATGTTTTTTGTGGACAATTAAATTTACAAGCTTAATAAAAAAATATTTTTTTTCTTTCAATTTTAAGTGCCATTGGCGAGCAAGACTTTAATTTTTGTCCTCAATAAAGCTTTTAAGATTTTGATTCTTTATGCTTTAAAGCCGTTTTGAGGCTTACATTGTGCATTTGTCCTACCGTTTTTTAAATTTATGCTACTGTGCGTAACGCTTTGGTTTAACCCGCCTGCAAAGAAGTTTTCGTAAATGGATTTTAAATGGATATAATACAATATTATTGAGTAAGGTTTTAAATAAAAAAAACTTACTGTACAAAGCAAAACACCTTTCTTAGCGGCTCTAAACGACGTAAAAACTTCTTTCCTAACATTCTGATCCATAGAACCATGAAGCGCAAAGATGTTAAGGTCCACAGCAACCTCCTCTTCATCGCTACCTTCGTCCATATTATCCAACAAAACCACATCACCACTCTTTAATTTACCCCTGTTTACAGGCATTTTTAACAAATACTTTGTAAACAGCTCATGATGGTACTCGACCATCTGAGCTGTGGCCATAAAGACAAATACTTTTGAATTGGATTTGGCTTTTGCCACCAACAACGCGGATAAAGTAAATAAACGGTGTTTCACGTATGTCATTACAAATTCTTGTTTAACAGTATTTGGTATGACCATGTGTTCGGGGTTTACAGTGGACGATTCATCCAACGCATCAACGTAAATGTGTTGTTTCATCGTGAAATCCGCAAGTTCTGCTATACCTTTTGTTAATGTTGCTGAAAGTAATAGGGTTTGTCTGGATTTACTGTTTACATTTTTTAATGCGGGTAAATCGGCATCTTCTTCTACATGTGTCTGTTCAGTTTTCTTATTTAACATTGCCAGGGGGTTGTATTCAGAGTTTACTTTTGCTTTGTCCAACTCTTCTACGATTCTAAAATATTGTTTTTAGTTAATGAATTAATTACCTACTACTTTTAAAAAAATTTACTTTACAATGTCCTTTTTAAAACCCATGTCTAATAATCTATCAGCTTCGTCCAACACTAAACATCTAACGCTATCTATTGCAAATGCTGTTGTATGCAGTATATGATCTAATAATCGCCCTGGAGTTGCTACTAAAATATGCACGCCTTTTTTAAGACGGATTTTTTCGGTTTTTCTATTTTCTCCACCACACAAGTGACCTACTACAATCCACTGGAAAGTCTAAACAATTTTTTTTAGTAAAAAGTAAATAATTATGTAGATTAACTTACATTTATTTTTCCAAATAGTTCATGTGTCTGCAAAGCCAATTCTCTTGTAGGCACAACCACTATAGCCTGTACTCCATTTGTTCTTTGAATTCTAGGTGTTATACTTTGTAAGGCATCAACAATTGGTACTGCATATGCTAATGTTTTACCTGAACCAGTTTGGGATCTTATCTAAAAATATTTTGAACAAAATTAAATAATTAAATGAATATTATACAGGTGGTAGATTTCCTGGCATAAACAATTGCTGTTAAAAAAACAAGTAAAATAATAATACTCAATCAATGAATAAACTTATGATTTTCACCCTTATTGCTCTAAATATCAAAAGATTTTACAAATGTACACAAGTTTGGAATTATTATAATAATTATAATTATTCATTGCAAAATAACAAAATCTATTTTTAGCAAAAATATTGTATTTTAAGCTTTTTTATCAATTATTTTTAATTTCAAATTGCCCAGGTGCAAACTAAAATTTTTGTTTGATAAATACAGGGTGCACCGCATTTTTTTCCAAATTTTAAATGCCATTTAAATAAACTTGCAATTACGCAACTTTTCTCTTATTTAACCGACCTTGTAGCTCTTTAAATAATAATACCCAATGGGTATTACCCATACATACAATGATACTTGGTGCACCCTGTATATTAGGGTGTGCATTATTTCCCAAGTACCGTAAACACGGGTGACTTTAGCCCTTTTATGAAAAATCTTTTCGCGCTCGATAAAATTAACATTTATAATTTGTTGGTCTAAACCTGTCAATTGAGCGATTCTATTGAGTTTATATTACAGTAAAATCAGTGTTTAAAAAAATTAATGGGATTTATTGCACTTTAAAATTGTATACATTGCATTAGTGCAAAACTCTTAAAAAATTCTATATTATGCGCAATTCCTTGGAATGATGATCCTTGGTTAACTACAGGTCGATTTTTTATTGTTTTTATCGGTAACCCCTTGCAATTGCTATATGTCGCTGCTAACATTATGTCTAATAAAAATATAATAAAATATTAAGTTAATTTTATACGGAAAATACACTGTGTTTATGATTGTTAAAACTACAAAAATGTTAAGATTAAGTATGAAAGTGAGCTAAAGCCACCCGTGTTTACGGTATCCTAAATGACATATTTTAATAAAAAAAAATGTATAACTACAACACAACAATAAGACATATTTTTGTGGGAAATTTCACCCTCTACAAAAAAGGTCGTTTATATTTTTTTGTAAAACCATCCATTTAAATGATATCAAAGGTTTTAAAAGGTTTTAAATTTTAAATAAATCAAAATGTATTGTCATTATCTGGTGGATTTTTTTACTTGGGTATTATCTAAATTATATGTTTACAGTCTAAAAAGAATTTTATTTTTTTTTCGATTTCGTTTAACCCTGCCCGAGATCCCGATCCCGATGATCCTTTTAATTTAAATCAATAAATGAATGGTTTTACGAAAAAAACTAACCTTTTTTGCAGAGCGTAAAATTTCCTACAAAAATTTGTCATTTATATTGTGACATGTCTATTAATCAGCGAGTTATGAAGTTTTTATTATGTAAAAAAATAATTAAGCAAGTGAAAAAATTCATAATTGATTTTAAGCGGTAAACAAATAATTTAAAATATAAATAAAAATTTAGATGATACCCAAGTACAAAAAACAATGTAAAAAACGGACACCCTACTCTATACAAATCTCTAATTTTAATTGTGAAAATTAAATAGTCGATAGAACTCGCAAAAATAAGAAGAAAAGTAAGAATGTTTTATAGCTTGGTTTTCAAGAAACAGGGTGGTAAAGTTATTAAAAAATATATATTTTTTTTAAATTTAAAAACTTCCTGGCCGAATTAAATCAAACTTTTTAAGTTTTTAGTAATGGATAAAGGACTTAATATAATGTAATTAAATTAATCCAGAGGCGGGGCTGGGACACCCCAACTAGATATTTAAAAATAAAATTTGGGTAAATTACTGCTTTTTTAAGTTTAATTTTATTTTTAGATTAAGTAATTAAAAATACAACTTTTTGTCTCCTGCATTTTTTTTCTATCTCGTTTAAATTTCAAGAAAAAATAATTAAAATTCATTAATTCGCTCGCCTCAGGAAAAATTATGATCATGAGCGGTTAAACGATATTAACTTTTTTCTTGAAAATTAAGCAAGATAAAGAAAAATGCAAGAGACAAAAAAATTGTATTTGTAATTGGTTAATCTAATTATAGTATTAAAAAAGCAGTGGCATTATATTACTTTTTTTAATTAATTTTAACAAAGCTTTAAAGCATACAAGTTCATAAAAACTTTTCTTCTTATCTTAGTTCTATTGACTATATAGTTTTCCCAATTCCATTTGTTTTTGTGTTATTAGGTAAATTTCTTCAAAGTTCAATTTCCACAAAAATCACCATAAAAGTATATTAAAAATATGTGCACGGTGGTCAAAACTAAACAAAACTAAAGTATAGGACGAACAAAAATGCCAACCAAAACTGATAGTCTATAATCTGATTATAGACTCTTTTGGTAACACAAAAATGTATTTATCAAAATCCCAGCTGATCCTTTATTACAAAAGTTTTGCATATTTCTTAGTATTTTAAAATTGTTTATGCCATTTCGATAAAATGCTCTAGTACCCTTATCAAATGTTTTTAAAAATTTGGCAGATACATGACTGAAATATGGATAAATTAATTTATAAATAAAAAATAATGTAAAATACAGTTTGCAATATCTTATTTATTGTTTTAAGGTACCTAATACAAAACTAATAAATAACTAAAGATTCTTTGAAGCAAAATCGATTACTGCTTGCCTTAAATTTTCAGTAAAACTTTTTCTTGGGGTTTACATGGAATTTTTTTTAACATGGAAACAGTATTTTTAAATTCTTCAGTCTCTGTACAAACATGCTTCTTACATCTAGCGATATCCCCTAGAAAGGAAGAGCATATCAAAACTTTAGTTCGTTCGTCCGTCCTCTTCCCTTAATAATTTTTTATGCCCTTTATATCTTGCCATTTTTCAGTAAAACTTTTTCTTGGGGTTTACATGGAATTTTTTTTAACATGGAAACAGTATTTTTAAATTCTTCAGTCTCTGTACAAACATGCTTCTTACATCTAGCGATATCCCCTAGAAAGGAAGAGCATATCAAAACTTTAGTTCGTTCGTCCGTCCTCTTCCCTTAATAATTTTTTATGCCCTTTATATCTTGCCATTTTGCAGATAAAGCACATACATTCTTGGCTGCCGCGAAATTCTCTAGCAATTTCTAAATTTTGAAAATTTGGCAATTGTGGCTATGCAAAAATACCGTTTTTACCATATTGAAGTAGGTAATTTTGAATCACTTAAGTTAAAGTGTTAGTTTGAAAAAGTCTGCAGTAATTTTTATATTTTCTCAGAAACCCTAAACTCTGCATTTTTCAATTACCAAAAACAATTTTGTCTCCACAGCCAGCACATACCTTCTTTCGATTTTCTTCATGGCTTAACTTGAATTTCGGTTTAATTTTCATTTTAAAATACTATTTTTAACTTTATAAAGTATACATTAAATAAACAACTAAAGCAAAATGTAACTTGCGTTATAACGTATAGCAATTTTTTTCATAACCACCTTAATTATTGTTTTACAAAATTTGCAAGTTGTAATTATTTCATAGACAAACTTCCAGTATTTTTTGTTATAAAAAATATTTAAGATATAAATCTTCGTTTTTTTTTGTTATGTTTTGTTTTTAGTGGTAAAAAATAATAGGTGACTCAATAAATTAATACTGAGGAGTAAAAAATTTAAATGATACAAAGTTTATTATTTTGCTTAATTTTATTAAAATTGTACAGGTAGTTTTAGTACAATAATTGCAAAATAATATATAGAAATAGAAAAACAAAAAAGTTTGCAAAACTTTAAAATAGGATCAGCTGGGATTTTGATAAATACATGTTAGTGTTACCAAAAGGGTCTATAATCAAAATATGCTATCAGTTTTGGTTGGCATTTTTGTTCGTCCTATACTTAAGTTTTGACCACTGTGTGTGGTTATATTGTGTTAAGTATCATTAACTAAAATTTTATTAAAAAAATGTATCAAAAGAAAAAATATACCTTGTAATGAAAACCCCCAAAAAGTTTTAATAAAAATTATAAATTAAAAAATAACCCCCTTTATATTATATATATGGGGTATTCCATACCAAATCGACCACTTTTGAACCCGACCCCTTTAGATTTTGCTGAAACTTTTTCATCCTTTTCTACCCTTTGAAAAACATTTTTGAAAATTTTTTCAAATTTTTTTGTCCAACCTCAAAAAAGTTATGAATTTTTAAAAAAAATGGCTTTTTTTATTTTCAAATAGCCATAACTTTTTTAGAAATTGACTTTTGGGTACCTTTTTTTTTAATTTTTGTTTTTGAATGAACTTTTCAAAAAAATACACGAAAAAAATTTAACATGATCAATTATATAAAATAATCGTTTTTTTTAGTAAAATCGTCATTTTTTCGAAGTTTTTTTTTTTGTTTTTTTTTCTCAAAAAAAACTTCAATTAATTTGACAACTATCCCCGCTAATCCCGGGGGCCGATTTTTTTTTGTATTTTTTTTATTTATTTAAAAAAAATTGTCAAAGAAAATTCGACAATTTTTTTTTAAATAAATAAAAAAAATTAGCGGGGATAGTTGTCAAATTAATTGAAGTTTTTTTTGAGAAAAAAAAAACAAAAAAAAAATGGCGAACTTCGAAAAAATGACGATTTTACTAAAAAAAAAAACGATTATTTTATAATTGATCATGTTAAATTTTTTTCGTGTATTTTTTCGTGTATTTTTTTGAAAAGTTCATTCAAAAACAAAAATTAAAAAAAAAAGGTACCCAAAAGTCAGTTTCTAAAAAAGTTATGGCTATTTGAAAATAAAAAAGCCATTTTTTTTTTAAATTCATAACTTTTTTGAGGTTGGACCAAAAAATTTGAAAAAATTTTCAAAAATGTTTTTCAAAGGGTAGAAAAGGATGGAAAAGTTTCAGCAAAATCCAAAGGGGTCGGGTTCAAAAGTGGTCGATTTGGTATGGAATACCCCATATATAAACAGAAAATTTGAAATAATAAATCTTTCCACATACCACCCTGTCTACTTACCAAAACATTTTTTCCAGTTAACACAACTGGTATTGATTTTTCCTGTACATTTGTTAATGTGGAAAAATTAATTTTCTCCAAATTGGACAATAAATGCTTATGTATATTTAATGAGCTAAACTTTTTATCTGCACTAAATACTTTTTCCACCACTGAAACACCTTTTGGACATTTTACAAACATATTTTTGCTACGATCAGAAAATAATGAATGTTGTGTAGTTTTGTTATTGTTTGTAGTGGGTTTTGGCAGAAGTACATCATTGCCTTCATTAGCTAAGTTTTTGGCTGCTAATTTGTCCTTTTTTTGTTTTCGTTTTATTAAAATATTTAAATTTTCATAAGGTTTATCAACTGGTGTTTCATTATCTTGTATGTTTCTTGGTTGAAACTGTCTTACAGGTTTTTGAAACTCTTTCTTGTGTCCTTCGTTGTTTCTTTTTAGAAATATATTTGTACTTTGTACATTTGGTTTATTAATTGGTGTTTCCTTATCCACTACATTTTTATGGTTAAACTGCTCGACAGGTTTTTGAAACTCTTTCTTGTGTCCTTTGTTATTTCTTTTTAAAAATGTATTTGTACTTTGTACATTTGGTTTATTAATTGGTGTTTCTTTCTCCACTACATTTTTATGTTTAAATTGTTTGACAGGTTTTTGAAAATCTGTCTTATTACCTGCATTATTCAGGGCTATTTTTGCGTTATTACCATTATTTTTTCTCTTTGCAAACACTTTTGCTGGTTCAATTTTCTTGTTTGCACTCCAATTAAACTCAAACGAGCTCATGATTATAAACTATAAATTATTTTATACTCTCATATACTTTTACACAATAAAATCTTTTAAATTCAACCTCTAATAAATAACACAATATTTTGATATAAATTCAACCTTTACATTTGAGGTTAGGATCTTGACAGCATGCTGGTAAGGTTAAAATAATGTACGCGCTGTTGCCAGTTTTAAAAATTACAACCGAATTAATTTTTTTGTCAGAGCATTTTTAGTTAAGTAAAATACCTTAAAATTAAACAAAACATACAAAAAATACCAGTTTATTCATAATGTTATAATATAAAAATATACCTATTAATTTGAAATTTTAGAAAGTTGCCTTATTTAAAAGTAAATTTTTTTTTAAAATATAATGTATGTGAACCTCTAGCATAAATAAAAGCTTGACAACGTCTTGGCATACTCTGTTGAACAGAGTCTGTTCTAGCTAGGATAACCTAGGTTATCCAACATTTCTTGCGGAATTTGAGCCCAAAGAATAGGTAATATTCCTTTTAGCTCCTGTATTGTCTCAGGCCTAGGTTGGTGGTTATCTAGGCTTCGTTGGAGCATATCCCAGGCATGTTCGATCGGATTTAGATCCGGTGACATAGCTGGCAATGGCAAATGCGTTATACAGAGCCGGCTTAAGGCAATTGAGCGCCTTAGGCACTTAAAAATTTGGCTCCTCCACCTAGATGCCTACTATACTTACGGGGCCCGGGGCAAATTTTAAAAAAGCTTCTTAGAGCCACCCCAAACTGTTATCTTAAGGGCGCCCGGGCATTATAACCTAATTATTCCCTATGAATTAAAATACTTTTTATCATTAAAAAAAATACATAAATAACATACAAACATAACAAATATAATGTTAATAAAAAGTGTTATAAGTGCGTTTTTCTGCATTTAAAGCTTGCAAGATGTCATTAGTCAGTATTTAAAAAAATTTAAAACAACTTTAATTTTCTGTATTTTTATATAAGATGTACTGCTGGTTTATTGTAATTAGTTTAAAATTAAAATTTCAGAAATACCTTAAAACAAACAGAAAAATTAATACTAAATGAGGTTTTGGCCAGCATTTTGTGTAACTTAATCTAACGTAACGTAATTTAATTTAAAAGATAAAACTGTATAGCCCTACTTTCTTAAAATTAACTAGTCAAAAATGACTATTGTATAGCCATAGGACATTTAGCAGTCAATTCCTATGTAAAATTATCTACTGAAACAAAAAATGACAAACAGTTTTTGAGTTTAGTCAATTTTTCATATTATATTTTTAATTGACTATATCTCCAAAACTGTTCTGCTTTCATAATTTTTCGCTATGTCAATTAGTCATTTTTGGCTAATTCATTTTTGAAGAGTATGGATGCGTTTACTTAGCTTTTCACGTAAAATAATTTATAAAAGGTTGGCCAACTTATAACTTTTCTTAAATTATATTACCTGAAAATAAATCTGAGCTTGCGCAGCGTAATACCAACCTTATTTCCAACAACAAAATTTCATATGGAATGTTTGAAGGTTAGTAATATAAAACATGCTTAAATGCTAATTATCAAGGTTAGTTACATTGTTTCGTTCTTAAAATCTTTGTATCATGTTTAAAAGTAAAGATTTTTAACATTCAGTCAACCACAATCTTGCCAACATCGGTTTCAAAAAACAACAACACGTCTGCATTATGCATGGGCTAAACATGGACTAAATGTTGTATAAATGGCACAATTATTAAATTACATTAAATTACGTAACGTTACATTACATTAAATGCTGGCTAAATCCTCCAGACTGCTATCACCAAACACACAACACATAGAAGTGCCACTCTTGAATAAACGCGAAGTACTTCCGGCAGCAGTTTCCCCTAGCATCGCGTACCCGCTGGGGTGAGCAGCACATCAAAGCGGGTACCCGATGCAAGAGGAACCCGTGTGCTTGGGGTTTTGAAATAGTTTAAAGAGTGCTAGAGATATGTTTATACAGGGTAAAGTTTACAAATTAAATTATTTTTTAAGTTTTTCTTTGCAGTTTAACGTTAAGATTTGTTATTTGTTAATTATACTAAATTACTGTTCAGTTAATAATAAAATATCTTATTCTACTTCAAAACGCAGTGCCCTCGAAATTAAGCATGGTGATATAACACCTGATTAATTTTATCTGAAATACATTTATGTATTTGGCATAAAAACAGAAGTGAATTTGCGGCACGCTTTTTTGTCGGCTTTACACCTCGTTATTACAAAGGAAGCTAAATTTTTATAAAATAATAAAAACAGTAAAGAATATTCTGTTATTATAATTGTATATTGTTTATTTGTTTTATTTTTGGAAAAAATAAACATTTTGGTAACAATTTTTATTTTTTTTAAGTTGCTTGGGGACAAGGCTCCTATTTCTACGTGGCGCCTAAGGCAATTGCCTTGCCTGCCTAATGGGTAATATGGCCCTGGCGTTATACCATGATTTTCTATTGCACGCCTTACTCGTAGTGTACGATGCGGTCTTGCATTATCATCCAAAAATTGAAATTGGTCACCTATTTCTTGATGAAAATGTTGGACAATATTGTTATTAAACTTTAAAGAAACAAATATACCGGCGTCTTAACTATACCTACTATAAAATGAATTTTTTTTTGTAAATTTTTTTGGCAAATTTCTTTGTCTCTTTTTTTTTCAAACCAGGTTCTTCAATTTTAGGGTCTTCATTCTCTTTTTCTTTACTTTTATTCCTGATCGGCCGGCTACCTTCATCTTTTTCTTCTGATCTTGGGATTAAATTCATATTTAAAATAAGTTATCCAAATTTGGATAAAAAAATAAAAAACTGAACTTTTAGCTTTTGTTCTTCTTTTTCTCCAGAAATTCTGTTGGGGGAAAATTTTGAGACCAGAAAACAGCCTTTCAACGATTACTTATTTCATATAGATGCGAAATGCGAAATACGAATATTCGCATTTCGCAACTTCTATTTCATCTATATATAGATGCGAACTATTTTGGGGACATTGTTTTCTCACTGGGCGATATTTGCAATGCTATTTTAGGTGACTATAAAGGTAAAATAAGAAACATTAATGCAACACAAAAACTCTTTGTCCATTATAAAAAATAAAAATAAACTCTAACCACTTATTTAAACAGTTCGAATAAAACTTAACAAAACAAACATTACTATATAAACGAAATAAACATAAAAAAGCAATTGCATTAATTTGCATGCGCATCACGTCAAATTAGTGCAATAATCGCAAAATATTAGGTCAATCTCAAGATTCCCGCCCCTAGATTTCAAATTTGCGAATAGTCATTTTAATAAATTACTCTTCAACCTACTCTGGTATTATTTATATTTTATTTGTATTTTATTAGTTTATTATTTCATAGCGTAGTCGCGACTGTATGAGGGTTCAGATGTAAGAAATTACTTTGTAAATAGCTGTCAAATTAATTCTAAATCTGGTTTCACATTTGAAACGTATGTTTATTAGCGCCACCAGCGTCCAACTCAGGAACTTAAAATTTACTCTCGCGCGTAGTTTTTTCTCTCGCCAACGAAATATTTTTCCGCGAGAATTTTTTTTTTATTTTTAAACAAGAAATTTTTTAAATTTTTTCGCGCAGATAAAATTATTTTTCAGACAGTATTTTTTTCTCGCTCAAGATTCAAGATTCAAGATTCAAGATTCAAGATTCAAGATTCAAGATTCAAGATTTATTCGTTATACAATATACAATAAAGTTTAAACACGTCAGAATAAATAAACATACAAATTAAAATAAATATACAAGATATTACAACAAACAGTTTTCAATAAAATTGTAGCACAGAAACTCATCCATAGAATAGAAAGCTTCTTGCAGTAAAAGTCCTTTAATAGTATTTTTGAAGTGATTCAAAGGTAGGATTTTGACTTCATTTGGTAGTTTGTTAAACAGCTTAATACCAGTAAATTCATAACTCTTTTGTGACCTTGTTAGTCTCACAGGGACTGGAACTATATTATTGCCTTTCCTTGTTTGATACCTGTGATTATCAGTATGTTTACGAAAATTGTTTTCGTTTTCTTTAACATAAAGAAGACATTCAAGAATATAAGCGCAAGGAAACGTAAGAATCCTGTGTCTGACAAAGCTTTTTTTGCAATTTGCTCTATAACTGAGATTATCAATTATTCTCAATGCACGTCTTTGCAGACCAAAAATTCTATTCCACATTGCACCCTGACCCCACGCCAATAGACAGTATGAAATTTTGGAGTGAAATAGGGCGTGATATAATATAACCAGTGTAGACTGAGACACATCATTACTGAGAATACGCAAGCCAAATATAGATTTACGTAAGGCAGAGGCCAGTGAATCAATATGGTTGTCCCAACACAACTTAGGGTCGAGAGTAACTCCCAAGAACTTAATTGACTCAATCTCGTTCACACCTTGTGTGTTTTTAAGACTAAATACCAAATTTTGTGTTTTCTGCGTATTCAGGCACAATTGGTTCTCTATGAACCATTGCTCAGCACCCGACCGTGCAGACTCACTTTCAGATAGAACCGACTGAAGAGTTTTACCCGAGCTCAAGATGGAAGTGTCATCGGCAAAGAATATAAACTCGGCATCCTCTACAGAAGTTACCAGGTCATTGATATATATCAAAAAAAGGAGGGGACCTAAAATAGACCCCTGAGGGACACCTGCCCTTACACTCCTCGCCGACGAACATCCAGTTGAAGTTTTCACTACTTGCGTGCGACCACTTAAGTATGAAGTTATAAAATTAATACTTTTTTCATCAAAGTTGTAGCGTTTTAACTTTTCAATCAGTTTCTTGTGGTCTACACAATCGAAGGCCTTACTAAGGTCACAGAAAACCACAGCCAAAAATTCGCCTTTTTCAAAGCAATCCAGGCATCTTTGAATAAAATGCTGAATTGCCCTGGAAGTACTCCTTCTTTTCCTGAACTCAAACTGATTGTTTGTGAAGAGATTATTTACTTCAAAAAACTCACTAATCCTGTTAGTTGCCACTTTTTCAAAGACTTTCGAAATAATGGGAAGCAGCGATATAGGTCTGTAGTTCGCAATATCATCCCTGTCGCCCTTTTTATGTATCGGAACAACCAGTGCCTCCTTAAGTCTATCTGGGAAAACACCCGTCC